TAGTGGTCAGGGCGGGACTCGAACCCGGGAGCAGCGGATCACGAGTCCGACACGATGACCACTCGGCCACACTGCCTTCTCATTTCTTATTTACAAGGAAATGTGTAGCAGCAAGAGGGGAGAATAAACAATCAGATTAGTTGGGATTTAAAGGATTTTAACAAATGGCGAACTTTTCCTAAATGTCTATGAATGTCATGTAACTTGCCTGAACTTTAACATCGGGTAAGAATGACCAAGCCACAGCCCAACGCATGGTGTGTCCCTGGCAAAACTCAGTTGTTGTTACTCTCTTGATCTGAAATCAGTTACACAGCTTACTTAATCCTGGAAGAAAATTAAGTTTGAGAGGATACCTTTCTACAAAGACATTTCACAGTTCTATCAAAATTTTTGTTTCAAACAAATGAAGAATTCATGAAAAACCCCAAGCTTCACTTTGTCACAAAGCAGGGTTCAAATTCCAAGGTTTTACAAAGTCACCAATTTACAACCCAAAATTACAATAAGGTCGCCAGAGATAAAATTTTAGTTGATGAAAAAAGGGTAAAATATTCAGACTATTTGTGCAATATTGTATACTTAACACAATTTTTTTTTCATTTAACTTTAGGTAATAAAAACACTGCAGTTTGTTACAAGACTGCCAAACACAAGTCACCCAATTGGCAATTTTCACTGCAATACAGGTTCCCATGATAACCAAACACACCTTGGAGTGCTGGTAAAAGGTGACCTCTCGGACACAAAAAATGGTTAATACTTCAAAAAATTATAGACTGTTCACACTGTAGATGAGGTGGGAAATTTTTTTATCATCAGTGCTGTTATCATTGTCAAACAAATACCAATGCAAACACTGTTATTCTTGTTTAATGATGGGTAGGGTAGCACAATTCATTAGCAATTAACATACATGTCTCTTTTTCAGTTTTAAAGTAATTTGGGTAAAAAGGATTTCAAGCATGATAAACTTGTACTTGCTCTGGTCCCATGTATAAATTATCACAAGGATAATGACAATGATGCATTTCTATGGTACAATCTCCACATTAACATGCTCTAATATGCTTTACAACACTTTGTGGAAGACTTAAGCCCGGCTGCATTAAGCAGTTTAGAATCTTGGAATGAAAATTTTGCAGGTGCCCCCAATATTTCAAATGTTTGCTGAAAACAATGCCAGAAAACAACACCATGAGCTACATTCCCAACTCTGCAAGAAGTGCATGGGATCTTTAACATCCTTTGCTAAACAGTATACAAAGAAGAAATAGGAAAGGGTGCTTTCAGCTTATCATCCTTATCTGAGAAAACTAAAGCATTTTCAGATGTTAGAGAAAAATACCGAAAAATCTAGCTTGTAGTTATTTTAACATAAATTCCACTCTAACCAACCAAATCAACATGATTGTAGTTTATAGTCAACTTACACCATTTTCATTGAGACATGCCAGGATGGGTGCAACACTTGACTTCTTTCCAAGCATTGTCGTATACCAGCTAAAAACAGATAAAAGATTGTACAAAACATTTTGCAGTGTATGATATCCATCAGAAGAATGATAGCAGGTTATAGTGACTCCCCTACCCAGTGAGTAGACTTGTCACACTTCTGAAATTTTTAGTTGTGCACCCATTACAATCAGCTAGTTGAAGTTACAGTAATTGCAATGTCCACAAAGCACAAAGGAAACATGACAAGAAGCCCATGAAAACTTCAAATAAAAACAAGGAAACTGCCAGAAACTTGGAAAAACAAGCATAACCAATCACAGCTGAGCACAACAGCACATGGGTGATGTGTGCTCAGTCCACCTCATCCCCTGAGGAGGACTAGCAGTATACAACTGAAGCAAAACATCGTTATCCACATCCCAAGTGACCACATTGTGAGACAATTAAATGATTACATTTCTCTTTTAAAGTGGTATCTACCATGATGATAAAATAACCACAACCTATTTTACAATAAAAAGAGTGAACAAGTTGCAGAGGGGTCTTAATCTTGTATCTGATTGGTTAAAAAGGTAGAGAAACTGTTTTCAACCAATTACAAAGTTTCATGAAGCATCAAAAGAAGAAATGGCTTTGAAGCAGCTGTTCAGTACGTTTAGGCAATTCTTTACTGGTCAATTCTTTCACATAATTATTCTCCCACCCCACTCTCTTCTTTCCTTTGCCTGATTCATTAGTATGTTGGAAGGTTGCCTGGGATTGACAGTCGCGGCTGGGGTGTGGGAATTTGCTAGTTATAGGGATGGGACACTCTACATATCTACAGGGTAAAGGGTTGTCATTAAACAACTGCTGCCTGCAAAATTTGCCATTTGAAAAAGTGGCCATTGCTGGCTGGATCACTTGGTAAAGCACAATGGGGACTTCTGAGGTTAAACACTTACAATCATTCACCCCCTTTGAAGCAGCTCACTTGAAATTTCAGCCAGCAGTGTAATTTCTTAGCTACAATCCTAGGGGTATGGCTGGCCACGATACAAGCCCCTGAATACCCCAAGCAACAACAATCTCTTTACAGTAAGCCAGATTGTAAGCCTCACAATTGACATAAACTTAGCACAAAACAAAATTCATTACCTCACCTAAAATGCTCCTTTAGAAGCAAACTGTCTTTGATAATTCCTTGGACAAATTCAACCTCACCCCCTCCAGTCACAGTCTCACTTTCTGTTCCAGTACACACCCCACTAGGTGGGGGGCGTTTGTCACTGCGTGTATTACCATAATATGCCTCAAACTCACTGATGAAGAAAGGTGGATTGCACATACAGAAATCAAACTCCTTTATCTCCTCATCTTCTAGGGGTATTTTCAGAAAACTGCCTTGGGTTACTTTTTTCACTACAACAAGAAGATGACAAAAATTAATCACCGAAGTTGTATCCCAACAGTATTGACTCTCTGGGTCATTGTGAAGGATCTTTTACTTGCACCATAGTTGGGAGTCTTGGTGATAGCCTGTGTCCTGACTAAGGAGGGCACATCTGCTCCTGAGAATTGAAACTAGAGGTCATAAACCGAGTCCTAAGTTCAATGGAATCACAATCAAGAGAACTAGAATGTTTCCATTTCCTTTCTTGTGCTAATTATTATTCATGAAAAACCTACAAAGAATCTGCTTAAAAGCTGATAAGGGCAACAATTAGACCAAGCTCTTACATAAATGGCAACCTACTTGCTACTCTTTCATATTCATGTAAATTAATTTTTTCTGGCCTCTGTTACATTTAAAAACAAAAGAATTTCCACACAAAGGTAAGGCCATAAAGGCTAGTTTTCTGGTATATGAAAGAATATTAATCATGCCCACCATTATCAAAGATGTCTGTGAATAACACCCCACTAAATATCATATCTTAAGAAACCAAATATTTTACCACCTTTTATGTTCCCACCAAGACTGTTGCATTTCACATTGTCCTTTGCATAAGAAATTGATGATTCATCCACCTCAGTTGCCAAGAAATGCCAGTTGTTAAGTTTAGCTCCCAGCAAAGGATAAATACAGGAGGCCCCTGAGCCTGTTAATCAAATTACAGTAGATATAAGATCCTTTACCCTTTTACTTCCAGAAGAGTTCAACTTGTAACTTCTCCCTGTAATATCCATACACTATACAGCAAGCAGGTAATGAGAATACTCAAACTTATCAGGTAGAATTTTTTATCTTGATCTAACACCTTGATCTAATGGGTTAAGCATCCTTTTTTGGACACAATGACCTAAAATCTAGAGATTTTTTTGTGCAACAAACAATAAACGGGTCCAATAATTCCAAAAACAGAAAAACCTAAAATCCCAACACCTGCTCTTTGATTTTTCTGTTGCAAAAAATGACGACTAGGAAAGATCTCTGCATAACCGCCTACTATTCTAAAACAAAGCCATAGTCCCCACGGTAATCTACTAAATGCGTATTAAATGCACATGGGTTGTGGTGAAAAGTTGTCGACGACTGTAACAAAGTTGGTTTTTGATAAAGCCATACCAAAGAACACTTCAAAGTCAACATCCAGTGCACTAAAGATTTTCTCAAAGTGAGCTATTCGTAAACTTAACGTTTTGAATATCTACTGTTGCGAAGATGGCGTGACATTAATTTTGTGTGAGGTGACATTGGTTTATTGCTGAACCCGTCTTCAGAGTGAAATGTCTTTCAACCTCATTATGTCTGAGTGTATATATCAACTTAAATCAACACCAAGTAAGAATACCAAACGCTTCAAGCCTTACCAATGTCAAAACCACGCACCACTGCGTGACGTTGAGCTTCCGGTAGACAAGCAAGTAAGTCCTCAATCCAGAGGATGTAGTTAAGACGCAAAGGAACTGTAGGAATCAGTCGATCCAACGGAATGCTGAGTTTTAAACCAAAATCACTCTCTAGCAATGCACAGGTCAAAGCACGCAGTGCTTCTGGATTTTTGAAGCTTATGCTAACTTCTCCTCCTTTATTCTCCTTTGCAAATTTACGAAAGTATTCAAATTTCTCGGCAAGAATCCTGAAGTCAGGAGGAGAATTTTTGTAAAGGTTTCTTGGATGCATGAAATCATTGAAGCCCATGTTAATTCTATCAAGTGAAAGAATCACAAAATGATGATCCCTCCAAGCCGCACCGCCATCTTGGTTGTTGAGTCGAACAACTAGTGCCCAGACTTCTTTCAGTTGCTACAACCTCGCAACAAGAGGAGGATAGGGGCCCCTTCGCAGACCCTTCCGTACCAAGTCACTGTTGGTGTCACAGTAAGAAAGCACAGATATTTTCGTTCTTTCCTATTGGATACATTTGATTGACAGAAGAGAAAGCTTCGCTAGTAAAAATAAATAAAAACAGAAGAAGTCATGAACCCAAGAAAAATAATATTGCGGGAGGAGTAAGTGTAAAAGTGCTGTAAATGAAAAGTATTCTGCACATTAATTATTAATTAGTTTTTTTTTTTCATATATTTTTCTTCCCTTATCTATTTTCTGTTTTCGTTCACATTTCATTTTCCGATAATTTGCATCCATTTCCCCACGTTTTTAAAACCAGTTTATGTAAAACTGCAAAGAAAATTTATACCTATGATGCACGATCCTCGCAGTAGATAGCGAAAATCGGACCTGAAAAAAAATCAGGCCTGTACGGGACTCGAACCACTGACCTCTGCGATAC